TTCCAATAGCGTATGAGTCGTACGCAGTGGAACGGCGATCGCACACGGACGCGTGACGTCAGCGATGCTCGCTTGTGTGGTGCCGCCATGGTGGGGGCTCTTCCCCTCATGTGGTGCTTGATGCAGGATGCTCGATCTTGCATCACTGGTCAAGGTTTTGTCTCGTTGGTTTGGTTTAGCTCGTGAAGCATCAGACCAATTTTCAGTCGGTTAAGTGATGTCTCACACTAATTCTAACCATGAGACATCAGATCATGCACCTCGAGGTTTTTCGTGTGATGCACACCTGCCGTCAAGGTAGAAAGGGAAGGGAGATTAAAATTATAAGATATATAAAAAAATGTTTTTGATAAAAGTTTTATAATATTTATTATAATTATTTTTTACATTATAATGCTTTTTATAATCATGCATTAGATTCTCCAAATGTCATGTTGTTAATATATCTTTACCTATTGTTATTATTTTTACAAAGTTTAAAACTTTTATAAGAACATAAAGTGAATAATTTTTTGTGCTGATATTAATATATTAATATTAATGTTTTTCAAAATTGCATTTTTGGAAAACAAATCGTAAATGCCATACTGTACATACGTCGCGCTCCATCGTGTTTCTGTTGCACTTATATTGCACAATTTGACAAGCATTTGTTTTGCATCTTTTCTGCATATCTTTGATTATAAAGTAATAACTAATTGTAAGATAAATATATACAAGTACGTAGATATATGATAAATTAAGAATAACGCATTTGACGATGTTAATTTTATTCCAATATTATCGATAGATAATAATTTTCGATATATAGATAATTATGCATTATAGGGGTAGCAGCTCCAATAATCTTGACCTTGACATAGGTCTAGGTCACAACTTTGAATAATCACCAAAAGGTTTTAGATGGCGCTCGTTTATTAAGGAAGTATTCTGCTTTGAAACGTCGTATTATAAGTGATTTTTAGGAATTTTTTTGAAGAAATCATGAAAAAATGTAGAATTTAAAAATTTTAAAAACATATTTATCGATAATTCAACAACAATGTGATGACAATGAAAAGTGGTAATTAAAAAATATGATCTATTTGAAGAATCTATATATACGAATATATATATATAAAAAGCATTAAATATTATAAAACTTTTATCTAAAACATTTTTTATACATATATCTTACAATTGTGACGGTATTTTCTCAAAATAAAATATATCGTATTAACTTGTAAGAATGATTTCAATCTTCAAAATACGAGACCGTATAAAACAATATATATTTTTTGTTTGTAGCTATTTTACAATATATTCGAAGTCCATCAAAATCACGGAAAGAGATTTGCGTTTATTTTTTTCTTGTTGAAACTATATTTTCTGTTACACTTTTACTTGTAGCATGGTATCCTACAACAGTTTCTACAGGCATAGCTGTAGTACGTTATAACTTGGCCGTGGCTTTTGCCATACGAGGTGAACTAGACAAATCTGGAGAAACCTTGAAGCAAGTGAGTATATTTATCAAGATTACTATTACTTAGAAAAATATAAATATAACATAAAATTATATCATAATAATATATAAAACATAATTAAAGCACAATTGTTTTTATTTTTTGAGGATCTTAATTTAATATACTTGAATTATTACATTTTTTAAAAATAATTATTGCACGCACGTTATTGTTCCAAGAACACTATTGTAATAGTATAATATTTCAACTTTTATTCATAACGTATATATTTTTCAAAGAATTTGTTTGTCAGAAGATATTAACAAAAGGGTACTATTAAAAGCAGAATAGCGTATTCTCGAAATAAAATCATAAAGTCTTTTACTATTTTTTTTTTCTGACGAATAGTTATCATTAGCTCAATAGTACTAACTCAACTTTCATTTAATGTTCAGCATATCTGTTTATCTTATTGTTATTTACAATAGTTTTCAATTTGTAAATTCAAATAGCCCCCCATATCTCTATAACCACAGAAATTTAGACACATTTATATAAATTTTTTGGGGAAAGGTCCCAGTTGCGCACAAAATAAATCGGACACAGCAGGTTGAATGAATCGGACATCGTGCCAATCGGACACAATAAGAAACGGACGGAAAGTGGCAAACCCGTGCAGAACCGTGTAATTATAGATTTGTATTGTAGATTAGTTTTGTATCTGAACTATTTTTTTACGCGTGGGCACGAGATGTGTTCGATTGTAACTACCGTGTGTCCGTTTCCTATTATGTCCAATTCCAACCACCGTGTGTCCGTTTCATATTGTATCCGATTTATTCTGTGCACAATTGGGACTCACTCACTTTTTTTACTTGTGTTGACTGATACTATCATCTTCCAAAACACTGTCCCTTCCCTTCCTCCAATCACCCTATACATTGATTAGTAAAATAGTTTTTGTTGATTTTGTACTTAAAAAAATTGCATTTTATTTGTGGGATATACAGGGTGTCCCAGACCTACCGTCAAACCTCTTGAGGGTAGATTCCTGATGTTATTCTGAGACGAAAGTTCCTCTTGCAAAATGTCGTGGGAGTCCTAGTTTTCGAGTTATAACAGGTTAAAGTTCACCAATAGATGTGTTGAATTTTCGCGCGCTCAGGGACGTCACACATCAAAGAACCCCGTGTATTGTATAACGATTGATCGAGCGCGTTTCTCGTGATTATTCATTATTCACTATTCACTGTTTTACAGTATTCCACAGAAAAGGTGGAGTAAGATCCGGAGATCTCTGGATAAATATAATAAATAATTAATATTAATAAATAATATTAATAAATAATTACTAATTAATAAAAATAAATAAGTTAAAATTAATAAAAAATAATTTAATTTTTTAATAAAAATGTAAATTTTATTTTATTTTATTTTATTTATTTTTTTTAAAAAACATCGTATCTTATATCGATTGCTCCGTATCGACCGGCGAGATCTTATGTACGAGTTCGGTACAACGGGCAAACAGGGACACGCAACGTATAATGAGACTATCAAGTGTTTACTATCGTTTCATGACGCATTGCACCGTCCCTACCTGTCCATTGTATCGGACTCGTAAGTAGCAAACTATTTTCAATTAGAACTCGAAAACTAAGCTTCAGACAAAATTTTGTAAAAGGAAAAATCGTCTCAGAATTTGCTCAAGAATATGGCATTGCAAGGACATCAGGTTATTTTGAATCACCCTGTATATATGTTTTTAAATTTCAGATATGGATGTCAAAGGAACCGGATTGTGATATACCTATACAAGTGATAATGTTGGCTTTGTACATAGAATTACAATTAGGTAATATTTGTTTTGTTAAAATTAGTATAAAAAATATTACTTTTTTTTAAATAAAAAAATATATAACAGATACTTCTCTATTATCGAATATCATGAAAAACTACGAAATATATTGTTCTTTTTCTAATTCCAGGTCATACAGAGATTTCAAAATCTATAATAAAACAGCATTGTCCACAATATCGTTAATAATTGAGGTATATGTTGATTATAAAAATTCATAAATAATTATACTCTTCTGTTTATGTGTGCACGTGTAGTCAATTTCAATTTTGATATGTGATTAATTAATATAATTAAACAATGTTAAAGAGCTACTTTTGAGATTGAGACCTTAAATTTATCTGTTTTAATCTCCATATTTACTCCAACAAAATAAACAAACTCATATCCTTGTATATTTGCTTTTTTGCTCTAATGTAAGCACATTTTAGTGGGTATTATTCACGGTATTATCTTGTCAAGAAAGAGCAGGTGTGCAAGTTTATCAAATATTAACTAGAGATTTGTTTCCGAAATTAATGATTATTGTACAGAAATGTTTTAAATAAAAATACATTCACAAGGGGAACTCCAGACATCTGAGTTTCCGATTTTGTCCAATTTTATAAATGTATTATATATTTTATAAATTGTGTAGTAGCACTCTTCCCCCTCCCCCTCCCTAATCCATGATAAAGTTATACGACACAACTCTCAAGAATAAGCGAGAAAAACGCGTTTAAACATTTACGTGCGCGTAATCTACCGAACACTAACAACGAATTGAATTCTAAGTTTATTATCAATACTTCACTTGATTTTAACCAAATCTAACCTAACCAAAATATTTTTATTTGTATTTTTAATCAGTTTCAAATATTATAAAAAGGAAACCTATATATTTCTTATTAACATTAATCTAGAATTAAATATTTATATTTTTTCGCACTAATATTAACATTTCTAAAGAAGTAAAACTCTTATTACAACTGGGTAACAGATTTTGCATGCCTTCTTTAGAAAGACATAAGGATAAGTTGTTAATAGATTTCATTAAATCACAATCTCTAAGGTAATTTGCATTCTTTTTATCAATTTAAACAACTCATGTAATGACTTAAAAAGTGCGTGGCGTTAGTTTATTAGTTGTTTTTTTATTTTAGTATTGGACACAAAATTAAATTATATGGACTTTTGTACTGAAGGTGGTCATAACATGACCGAAACGTTTACTTGTAATTAAATCTGGATCATTAACAAGACTTTAAAAAAATAAGCTATCAACACCTTGCTTTGGCTCTCCATCCCAACCTATTTATTGCGAATTATTTATATTTTAACTTAACCGAGTTTATATTTCATTAATAAGACCTCGCGTTCCATTTCTTTGAAAATCGCACGCGGTTTTGCCCTTGGTAAAAGGAGTTAGATCTCTTGACCAAAAAGGAAACCTTGGGCGATTGGCCTAGAAACAGAATAGTAATAGCCTTTACGGTTGTTGATCTGTTTCGAGCCGAAACAAAATTGTTCAACATGGTCACCTTCTCTGTACCTGACCGGCATTTACGCATTATACTTAGCACGCCGTCCACCTAACTCTAACTTCCTCAGGTAAGGATATAACATACATGAAAACAAAAATATTACTACAATTGCATGTAACTAGTTGCTAGAATTTGAACTGGATCTAAATCTTGTGCAATCACTGCAACCAAATTACTTCAAAAAATTATGTAGTATCATAAGGTTGCGGCAATTTATCACGGCAATCGAATTGCTGCAACCACCCAGTCAACAAAATGTTAGCAGCCTGCCGGCAATTTGCTAGCAAATTCGCTCAGAACTTGGCAGCAGATACGGTGCCATCTGTGTCCGCATTAAGCTCGTGTTCTGCCGGCAGAACCTGTCGACATAGCCCATACAGCACACAAAGGGCTTGTTCGTTTTAGCTACACTGGGGCTGCTCTGGGTCTGCTCTACACAGGATAATACAGGACAGATAAATAGTTTGTTCTGTATTATCTTGTTTAGAGCAGACCCAAAGCTGCCCCAGTGCAGCTAAAACGAACAAGCCCAAAGATTGCATACACATTGCATCAATCTTTCATCGCAATGTTGCAATATTCAGGGTTGGGAAGTAACTCGTTACTTGTAACGAAGTTACAGTTACAGTTTTTTTTTTCGGTTAACTATAACTTAACTTCGTTCCTTTTTCTTTCATCTATAACTGTAACTTAACTTAGTTACTAACATTTATGGTAACTAATAACTAATTTAACAGTTAATTTAATATTCTATATACGGTTGTATCAATTGTAAGAATTAGGGCCTATCCAGACAAACTTGCATAGTCGCATAAACATATGCATAAGGAAAGGAACAAAATTGTCATGGAATTTGTTATATTAAGTGTAGATTCAATATTTGTTAAATAAATAGACTGATAAACGTATAGATATTAATTATGAAATTCAACAGAAATAAACAAATTCTCATTTACAGAATGCACTGCCACTCAGTAATAAATTATCTTTGAGGATGATTATCATATAAGCATAAAGTTGAGACTTTAAGAAGAACTGAAACATTTGTCTACGATTTTTTGGAAAATTACGACTGTTTGTGTGAAATTCGTGAATTTTTAAACTGAAAAATCTGAATCCTATAATTTTTATTCTAAATGTATAATAATTTATTTTAAATTATTAATTAATTTAATATTTTAAATGTATTTTTATTTTAAGTTTAAAACAATTGTGATTTATTACATATAAAATAATATAACACAAAATTAAGTACCTATGTAGTATATAATAAGTTAATAAATCTTGAAATGTAAGATTCTTATATTTAAAATAGTAGTGCACATTTATTGCAAAAAAGTAACTAAAAAGTAACGACTCGTTACTTTTTGAGTAACTATAACTGTAAAGGCCATCACACACAAAATGACATAACTGCATATGCATAGCATAAGACCGACTCGACCAATGAACATCTAGCATAAAGGCGCCATATTGATTTACATAGCAT